CCAGAAAGAGGACTTAATAGTGTATCGCTTGCCGCCCAACAGAGTTAATGCGGTATGTAGAAGAGGGAGGTTCCGGACAAGGAGGGGCTCTACAAACTTTTCAAACCTTCTCTTCCCCTGACACTTATTCTGTACGGGGTTTATTTGGAGGTTCAAGATTGCTTATTCGTTTCTCAACTGGTCTTGAGAATCATGGAGTAAGCGAGATAGACATTTAAAGACTTCCATGATACAGAATACGAGCTAGTTGCGTTGGTACCACACAGATTGGTATCCCTCATTCTACTTGCGTATATCCCTTGAATTATTGCTTTAGTACATTACCACATTGATTTCTTACCTATTTGTTTCAGGTGAAAGAGCTGCTCAAGTGAAGGGCTTCTTGTGGTTTCAACAGTCTTCCTGTCTTCCGGTCGATTGAATACTGTGATAATATTGTTGTGGCATAGGAGCTATGGTTTCCTGATAATTCCTTATTAGTGTTTTGTCGCCAAGCACCACTTTTTCGCCAACAACCTATGCATTCTTTTGAAGTGCAATTCTGATGATTAAATGAATTTTGAGATACAATCCTTCTTTGGCATTATGGAAACAACCAAGCGGTCTTTCTTAGTAAACTTAATAAACACTGGTTGAAGGGTGACAGGGGGCATTGATTATTGATGCCATGAAGTGGTGACTGATCTGTTTGACTAAGCGACTGGTAAGAACTGATAAGGGAAGTCATTCAGTTTATCGCTAAGATGAAGGTCTCGAGGTGATAATCAGCCCAGCCTTTGGGATGTACCCCTGCATTCGACTTTTATTCAGTATCGAACAGCCAGGCAACGTATAAGTCAGCGCTTTCATCCTCTTACAATCAGACGTGTTAGACACCAACTAATCGAACCCGGAGAGATGGCTCACTTGAAGTAGGCAGGTATCGATGCGGGATTTGATCCCTGGACCATGTGTTTTGCTGTGCCCCGATCTGCCACTATCATCTCCGCTCATAACAATACTCCAGCTTTTGTCTACAAACATGCTGGTTGCGCTTCGTAAGGACCATCAAAGCTTTCGAATGCAATCCGTTGTTAGTCATAGACGAATCACTGAGAATCATAGAGTTGTTTCTGCAGTATACGTCAAACTAATCATTTCCCTGTTGAACTAATTTTGTTGGAATCAACTTGTGCGGTTTTATAGCAGCCGATCAAGGCCAGGAAATTCTTTTATAGATATTCATTTGCAAAGCATCTTAAAATTAAATTAACATCACAAAATCAACTCAATGTACATATATACAGACCGTTAGTTGGTAAGTTAGGCACAAAACTGACAACCCTGAGATCATAATGCAACACCTCCATATAGTGCACATAAAAGTTGGCCCCTACCCTTTGTTCCCTAGTCCCGTTCTAATACGACGTCAAGCAAACTTCATCATCCTGATCACCCGTCCACCTGTACTACCCCTGCACTCATCCACTGGCTGATTTCAACGGTAATGGGTAGATCGAACTGTTTGCCAATATCGCAGGCAGTTTTCGCATCCCGCAGTAGTTCAGCGGTAGTGATCGTATTCGCGAATACACCCGAACATTCGCAGTATTTTGAAATGTTATCTCTTCGGATCTGAACAAAGACAGGCTTGAGGATAAAAGGTTCTCGAGAATTCGATCTTAAAAGAAAAACTCACTGATCTGCATTTAGTACAAACATGATCCTGAAGTAGATAAGCCGTCATAAGCATGTTTAATCGATCGGAAATCATCTGATCGATATCCGATTTTGCGAATGACTGAAAATGCTCATGATGAAGTGACCGTATTCGAGAAGCGAAAAGGCTCTATCAAGTTAATTATGGAAATGAGTTCGCAGCAAGTAGAAGGAAAGAAAAGCGGCTACATGGCGAAAAACAAATGTACCCATGTAACTGACTTCTCTGAAGAAGTACTCCCATGTCATCACGCAGCAAGCTTTTCAATCAGATGAAAAGATCAATGATTGTCGTACAGAAGTAACAAAACAATTCACGCACCTGTCCACATTCCTTACAGGTCCATGACAACTCGTCTCCCACATCGATGTCAGTAGCCAAGGAACAGTTACTGCAGAATAGATTTGATAGATACACGGTATTTCGGGTTGGAGGGAATTCTCGAGTATCCAGTATTCGCTGAAGGTTTTCTCGAAGTCCCTCAACACTGTCGTCGACAGCTGAATCACACAACAGCGCTGTGCAAATCTGTAAAATAGGACTGATATGAAACGAAGAATAGCTTTGCCTGTCGCATTCCTATAAAGAGAGAAGAGCAGAGATGAGCTAGCCCATTCAGGAAAGCCTAACAACCATCCGTTTCCAGGAATCAATCGTCAAACGAAGCATACCACATTAACAAGCGAGGCAGCCGCATTGTGTGTAAGACTTTGACCGGCTAGTTTCGAAATGACTCGGAATAAGCGATGTCCGATATGCTGCCTTATCAGATCATTACGGAACTTCACTGCCGATTCCGCGTCAAAGTTCTGAAAAAACGGAAAAACAAAAATACATAACCAATAATAGCAGATACAACGAATAAAAGATCAATAGCTCATTACTGAAAGCAGAATAGACGCATAAAATTACCATCTTCCGCTGCTCCTGCATGAACAACATCACGTATCCCGTCACAATCTTCCGAAACTCTTCACGAATAGCCCCTTCGATCGGGAGATCATCGGACATCCGCCAGTAGTGCTCAAATACTCGAACATCCAAGCAAAACAAGGAAACACTGAGAGCAGCACTCTGCAGCTACTCACCTGAGTTTCCGCCTTGAGTTGTTGACTGGGCTGGCTGCCCTCATCAACACTCTCGACCAACTTTTCGCAAATACCTCAATTAGAGAAATTCGAATTCTTATCCAAAGAGAACTAAAAGAATTCTATTTACCAGTGAAATTATGTCCGTCATACCACAACAAGGTACTCCAAACGCGAACTGATCTCATATTCAAAGCAGCAAAAAGAGGATTCTGTCCAAGTGATTGCAGCAAAAGATCTGTGAACGCCTTTCCTTGATCCAATTCGTACTTTCCAGTATCCAAAACCAAACGTGTCGGCGTGGCGTGAATGATCTACAGATCAACAAGTTGACTAATGACCAGTAGAAATTACTTAAAGCAAATCAAGCAAAACAACACACAACAAGTACCTTTGCCCCGAGTCGCTCGCACTCGGCTGCTAGCAGAAGAACGAGTTTCTTTTCTAGAATAGCGACACTCCTAGTAATAGCCGAATCAAACAAGAGCGCATTCGAAGAGTGTAGCCATCTGAATTCTCTTTAATAAACGAAAGCTGTACTACTATGCACGTAAGGTAAATATATCAGCGTATGCCAGATGTTTATGCGATGTTTATTGAATATTTGCAGAAAAACTGGAAAAAATATACGAAAGAAGTTGGCGGTTGATGCTGACACACGCTGACAGCCCTTTGAACAGTTGATCATGAAACATTTCGATTTCAATAGAATTCATGACAATGCGGAAAATGTGGTGTTTCAGGATTCAAACAACACCCACCTGCTTAGCGACATGACAACCTGATCGGCTCGCTTGTTGGCGCTATGAGCAATATCTCGCACGCATTCTGTTAGCATCTGCTTCAGTACCTTCAGAGCAGCATCCACAGCAGCACCTTCATCAAAAGCCGAGATTGTGTTCCTGAAAAGGTAAATAGACTCATGAAGACCCAACATTACTTTCTAAAACTCAGAACAGAACAGCTTTTTCAAGCTGACCATATATCATCAACAGTACGACTGACCGTAATCCATTATATATTTCCAATGGCAATGCGACTGATGAATCGAATGCAACTGTATCATCAGCTCCTTCAGCTTCTAACAATCTTCCTCGTTGAACTAACGCGGTGACCTGTAAAGAATGTAACCCTTCAAACTTTTAGTGACAACCCGTTCATCGTTTGTAGATCCCTTCTAGTTTCATGTCCTGCGGAGCGATACTGCAGGAATGCTGTTCCAAAAGAAAGTGTAACAGTAACCAACGAGACCACCACAGATTTTTCGGACAGATTTCAGACCATAAGTTTCTAGGGAACCTTCCCCCACTCCTGACCAGATTGAGATAATGTACCAGGTAGACGTGGAAAGATGTGAATGCTGGTCTGTATATTAACTGGCCACCGTGTACCATCAGTAGGTTGCTAATAACGGTTTTGAATGGAACTCATAACCTATTCAAAAACAACTATTTTTACCTACGAGGTGAGCTTTTTCCTATGATCCACAAATGAATTTCTTCGAAAGGAATAGTAAATAGAAGACTTAGAAAATTATGTGAGAACAAGTTTCAGGATGAAACATACCGCAACGGCTTCTAGTGCAAACTCGATGCATATACTTCCGCAAAATGACGGTGTATTCAGCAAAACCGTTTCATCTGATGTCAGTGGCCTCCAATCTGCACTCAGACGGAGGTCATCCAGCTCCTTACAAATGTTGTATGAATGGGTAATGAACTGCATTATAAAAAGTATAGAAACTCACCTTTCCTCCGAGATCGGGTCGACTTGATGGTGAGGCCCAAAGGACATGTCCAGCTCTCTGTAGGTTGCGAGCAAAGAACAAATCTAACCCAAAGAGACCCGCGTCATTAGGTACGCTGCCAATAGGAATATTGAGGTAACAAGCCCATTCGATATAATCCTGAAGATAGAATAGGGAATCTTGTTTGCTGAGGGTAAACATCTGTTGCTGGTTGTGACACTAACTTTTACGTAAATGAAGCTATTGAAATAATGCTTGCAGACTCGTTTCGCTACAACACGTTGCCATTCCATCACATTTAATAATGACTGCGGCTCTTGGACATGAATTCGGATATGAGGGAACAGCGAGAGGTGCACAATCCTCTTCATCTGCAATACTTCGTGAATCTCATAGAATGTGAATCTCATTCAATAATCGTCGAGTGTTTTGCATACGCAAACGAAATTTCAAAGAAATTCATGCCGAAACTCACTTACTTTTGTTCGTTTGCTTCTCAATCAATAATAAACAGCAACAAAAACAGTAAGAAAAAAGAAAACGAAAAAGTCAATACGCTTACCATGGCCCGTGGTTCTTCATCAACAAGAAGACATAGCAGCGTTGGTTTCGCGCTAGCCTCTCGACTCACCCGTAACATCTGAGAACGGAGATTAACATCGATGTAGAAAGTCATAAAATCAGCAAAACAACCTTGTTAACTTCCTTCTCAGCCTCGGCTGCAACGCGAAAATGGCGTGTTGCAAATTTAATACCTTGGGGAACATCGCTTTTGGACGCCATCAAGTCCTTTCTGAAAAGTTTATTAGTTATGAGATAAAAATAACCAAACGAAAGAAATAGCTTACTCTTCGTCGTAGGATTGAGAATATACTCTGTCAACATTAGGCATTGCCACTTCCCCACGTTGAACTATGAAAAAGAATCCTGTTGAGGAAGCGGAATCAACCATCGCCCATACTTGTCGTGTATCCTAAAAAATGATGACACGTTCAAGCTTGCAGAAAACATAAAGAAATCAATCAAAAGAAGCGCTCAAAATTATTCCAAACCTGAGCAAATTTGTACAAGAATATGCTTCGAATGGAGTCATGGGATAGATAGGACTGGTCTGTCGAGATCATCCTCAGGGTCTGAAAAAGTAGCAAGTGTTGCCTGCAATCAGGAAAACTGCAAAATAAATGAATAGGCAAGTGAACAGAGGGTGCCGAAACTAAAGTAATCGGTGATTACATGAGTTTTTCCTATTAAACTCTCGCTTAGATTTCAGAGGTGCAGGAATGCAACTTCAGCGAAGTGCGAGGAACGAATGCCTCCAAGCTCCAGCTCTGAAGTAGTCCTTCGGCAGTTATTCTACCATTGCCCAGCAGGATCAGAAATTATTGCAATGAACTCAGTTTCGTGCAGCTACACTGCAAGTCACTAACGAGAGGTTATCAAGCAAGCAACGACTTTTTCTGCACTTTTTCGGAACCCCCTGAATGGTGCTAAGCTGCGAGTGTCCTCAAGCTACAAGTTGCGGTATGCGTTCCGAGTTTGAATTTTGTTGGAAACCGAACGTTGCTTGGCTGCACAGCCATCCAATAGTATAACAAAAAAGTATATGGAAACGGCAGCAATATGAACAAAATAAACCAGAATTCTAAAAGGTTGTCCGTACCTCCAGCGAGTAGACTCCTCCAATCGGTGGAGCCATTGGACGACAGAGACATCCAATCTGTGTCAACGCCCGAAACATCAACGGAGTCTGAGACTCGTAAATACCCTCAGTACGTGAACAGCACAGTTTCTCATTGATCTCGTTCATCAACTTTTGCTCGGCGTTCTGAAATCAGAAAGGCTTAAAAATCAAATCGGGACCTGCCAAATTTACCATTGCACTCTTGCGAGCTTAACTTACCCCACTTATGATATGTTCATACAAGTAGTACACTGGTTTATGATGAGGCAGTACTCGACGCACCACTTCTTTGCCTTCTGAGGGTTCCTAAACGATTTAAAAAACAACCTTGTAGGTAATCTGCATATTTGAAAAAACTCGTAACCTCACCCTTTCATTTATGATCACAATCCGTGGGACTCGAAGCTGGAACCTCTCCATTCGACCTTCGAGCGCCACCCAAATGTTGTATATACCAGGTGTCCTCGTTTCCTCTAGAGACAGCACCTACAAAGATAAGAACGATGGATCCGGGCTCAACATGGTAACACATTGGATGGCGAGTACTTCAACGGTTTCGAAGCGTGCTTCGAAGCGTAAATCGATTCAGATACTCACTTGCCATATCCTTTCGCGCATCGATTCCCGCGTATTTGATAGCATTCGCTCCACCATCGTGGCTCCTACAGAAGAAAATTGAAAGCAGTATTCCAAATGCGTGGTATTACTTTGGATTACCCCTATCCCTCCTCCTTGTAAGATTGTTAACTTTAGCTAGACGCCATTTTTTCTTCAGGTAGCGCAACCATTCGTCGAAACCGTCTCGTGCCAGTGTCTTCATGGCAAGAGGTTCAGTGGTTGTTTGGGACATAGCCTAAATTCAAAGAATACGGATACTGTAAAAAGCTATATGAGACTAGCCACTATATAAATTTCCAGTCTAACAAAATTAGAAACTGAAACCAGCCGCTTGTTTTCGCTCACTGAAATGGGCTCCCCTCTTTCAGCCCTCCTGAAGCCATTTTNTTTTCGCTGCAAATGTAAGACGACGAAACTGTTACCCACCTCAGGGATTGCACGCTGCTTCTTAGGGTCGTTCTCTTTGTTCTCCTCATCTTTATCACTTATCTCTTCCTGCTCCGTTTCATCACGACTGCGCTTTCCATTGTCATTGATGGTGAGAGGTATCTCATCTGGTGCCTTCTTTTGAAAAAGATCCGTAATTCTTGGCTGACGGACGGCATCGAATCTATACTGGTTTTAGTTTTTAATCCATACTGTGCCGATATTCAGTGGAGCATGAGTATTCGTTATCCGAAAACTAATCTTACCTATTCTTTATTTTATTGGCAAGCCAATCCGGGTGTGGAATCCTTTCAACGGGGTTGGGCAATCCTTGCAAAGCTGCAGGAATAGTTATGATCTTTTGTATACAGCTTCCGAGTCGCTCAATGTAGTAATCCCAATCCAAAATCTAGAAAATACCAATGATTCCAGCCGAAAGCATGAATTCAATGTGCATTGTCGTACAGCTAGCAATAACCATGAAAGTCATACGAACCTCTCTTATGTTCATTTTTTCCGCAGGCAGACCAGGCTGCTTCGTCCACTGCCTTAGGTAATGACATCTGACCTTCTCTTCTGCCTGAAATCTTAGCTTAGATTCCTAAGAGGGGTGAAGCAGTAGGAAAGGGCTACCTGGAAAATAGCAATGGGTACAGCCCGATCAGTCACCGGTGCACCGATGGGATGACGAGAAATTACAAATTTACATGCGAGACCGGCATCCTGCACGAAAATGATCAACTTTCTTAACAGAGTAACAAAATTTAAGTCACTACCTTACCTTGACCATATCAGCACCAAGGAATTCAGCTAATCTCTTAGCTGTACTTATACTCGTGCTTTTCTGGGCCCCATAATCTTCTAATTTTCTTGACATACTCCTGTTTTCAGAAATTAGATCAAACAGTTCCATGTCGGACAGTGAGCCTCCCTTTGAGAACAAAACGTCAAGCCAATGATCTGCCTCACGTGAAGCGCTATCATAGACCTAGATTAAGGGTAATCAATGGAGAATCGAGCACCAGTACATCAATAAACAAATTCACGATGAAGACTAACTTCAGCCAGTGTCGTTCCACGAAGAAATGCCTTGAAGACTGCTGACTGGAAATGTTTAATAATGTTCAGTTCACCACGTCGTTTCACCTCGAATCCCTTTAATTCTGCCAAGGATCCATCCAAATTGAAGACCGCGTACCTGACAAGATGAAATAAGAATGAGTCTTCGAAAAGAAATTTTTACTAGTGTTTTACCTCTTCTTGAGTTTCTTACCCTCTTCCTTTGAAGCAGGAAGTACCATGCACTGGTACGGCCCGTCAACCTAAGCATAGAAGCCAAGTGATTGGGACACTGCTTGTATTTAGGAATCAAATTTACCTCAAAAAAGATAGAATTCTCTTTTGAAATCGTATAAGAACCGTCTGGTTGCAAATTGTGATACTGGTCATTTGTGAAGCCCATATTCACAACGGCGTTCAGCATAGCACCAGGATAAGAGATTGTGATCTGAATAGCAATGGTTTCCCTTTCCCACTGAGTCCAACTGGTACCTGATGATTAGCATGAGACTTAGATATCTTTAACCAGTTTAAAATTCGTATTCTAATCGGAAAAGTGGCGTCGTAATCCAGCAGAGAAATAACATGAGATTACACTAATAAAAAAACTTTCGAATACCCTAAAATTTCATAGATAAGAGCGGTTTAATTTATTGGTGAAAAATGAATTGGAAAAAATTGAAATTGAATGCAGTCACCCCTCTAACTTGATGGATGGATAAATAAAAATCGGNTGGAAAAAATTGAAATTGAATGCAGTCACCCCTCTAACTTGATGGATGGATAAATAAAAATCGGAGGAGAAGTTTAGAAGAAGCTCCGCCCCTTAACTCCAAATTCCGCCCACTTAATAAACAATTCACATAGAAAAATAGCGATTTTAACGGATTATCATCATCATCACCAATTCATTTTTCACCGATAAATTGAATCTCTCTTATCTATTGAATTTTAGGGTAATACAAAAATTTGGGGGTTTTTCTTTGAAAAGCAATCGCTTCCGGAAATTTCATCAAACCATATGAGGTTGTAATAAAAATCAAGTACTACTCAAATTACCGATTTCCTTTTGCAGTTCTGTAGAGCAAAAGTCACGTTTTCAGGAAAAGACGCAGGCAGTAAGCACCATATTCCTGAAAGGACTCAACCTTAGGCCTTGACTATAGACCTGCCATTAGATCAAAGCTCACCATCAGTATCCAATTCAAGTGGCTTTCCTATCTGTTCTACAAGTTTTCTTGCTTCAGTGATGATCTGGGCTCCTGTATAGCAAACGATACCAGCCATTTCCATAGAAAACCTGAGAGGACAGATATCATCGCGACCGAGATCATGCAGTTGTCGAAGAACGAGAGTATTACAAAAATAAATAGATTTGATGATGTGCGTATAGTGGATATGATACTTCAGGAATATGAAAAATAGGGAGAAAAGAACCAAAGAACTACCATCGACTGCCTTTTCGCATCACATATCCATAAAATGAATTGAGGATACATTTATGGGCAAGTTGTAAGGATTCATACAGCACGATACGACCTGAAGATAAGAAAAAATTGTGAACTGTCATGACACAGATCTACAGAATTGAACGATAGCAACTTCCTACAGAGCAATTGGAAGGAGCTCAAAAAGCTGAAGCCTTGAAAAGAGTTCGGTTTCTAACTCAAGGAATGTACCTCGTGAAACCCGAAGAGAGCTTCAAGGTGGAGTGAGAGGTTGAAATAGGAGTTTTAAGGAAGGCTTCCATTACCTTTGGCAGCTTTAATTCCAGCGATATCGTCTTTGGACAATTCATCGAGCGATGATTTGGCTTTCTTCAACAACTCCTTGTAATCGTATCTCAAAACAAAGAAGAATTTCAAGCAATGAACGGTAGAACTCATTTGAGAGTGGACACTAACCGTCTGTCGCGGAAAGCTCTAACTGTATCGACGTAAAAGGCGTTTTCACGTTGACATATCATAGTCTGTCTCATTTCTAGGCGAGTAAGGTGAGTTCTACCATATACACGGCGGGAATAGTCTGCAAAATGAATAGTCGAGTCAATTCTCTACTAAAAATGAAATCGCTTACCTTGTATCCTCTTTTTCTCAATAGTTTGTCTTTCAGCCTTTTCCAACTGATGGAATGGTTTCGGTGGTTTACCAAAAGTTTCACCTTCCAGCTGTTGAATAATCTGCTGGAGTTCGCCTCTTGTGGCAGGAGCTTTAACATAAAAGTTCAGCTGAGATACTCAATGAAAACGAAAAGAGGTTCATACTTAATTCCCCTCTCCATTCCCAGCTCATCACTCTTTTACATTTAGCATCAGGGCGGTTGTACGAACATGCCATACATATTTCCTCATTGACCATTGCACAAGGCTATAAAAATTGACGGAGTGAGCAACCTGAACTGAAATGGCGTACGGTGAGAGACATACCTGCAATCGATTTGTAAGGATAATATTCGGGTACATCGCTCCAACATCCAAATGGTAGATACGCGGGTTTTCCATCCTTAAAGAGGTATCACGATATTCCCAGTTGGCAAATAACATTTCAGAACATCAACTTTCACATCAGGCTACAAACCTGGCCGGGATTGCCATCAGGTCATTGAATGCTTGCTGAACCTCAGCACACTGAAAGCAGAGACTATGCGATCATCAATCACGAAATAGTTGCAGTGGGTTCTACTCATGCCATACCCTCTCATCAAAATCGATAACATTCTCTACAGGTATGTTATATTCCCGAAGAAGTTCTTTCGCCAGTGTATCATGAACAGAGTCATGAAGGCTCTTCAATGCAGATGGTGCCAAACGGAATCTCAAATTAAGAAATAGACAAAACAGAGCGTTTAGAAAGACATCAAGCATAAAAGGATACCTGCAAGGAATGTCGGCACGGAAAACTCCAGCTTCCAGCGCCTCTACATGGCCTCCAACGTACGTTTCAGACTCGATCCTGAAGCGACGTTGGTCAGAATCGTTAGGTGTACGATGGAAGAATCATTTACCGATGTCCGTCCTTCGTGGATTTGCTCTCGTCATCTTCAGTATACTTGTTAGGGAACACTATGTTGTTGTGGAAAGCCTCTACCATGAGAAGTGCTTCACACAGGGTGCCGGAGCCTTTTCTGAGCACCTATACAGAATGCAATGACTTATACGGATCCTTTATCAGTTACACTCTTCAGCTAACAAAAGTAGAATTGGTATGACTAAGAAGCTTGGCTAGAAATACTCACGTCATCTGGCCCGAGTGGAATAATCGTGCAAAGGGCAAAAACGAATGGATGAACATATTTCATGTACAGATAGTAAGTAGCGACAGCATCAGATACTGAGTAATTCGCTAGACTCTAGAAAATACTCGTTAAATTGAATGGAGATGTATTGAAGCAGCAGAGTTTTCTCACTTGAGGATCTTCCCTGGCCATTTTGCACATCTCTTCAGGATCGACTTCAACAGGATCATATCGTAGTTTAGCCTTCGCAACGGCTTTCAAATTCTGACTACCAACAGGCAAGTATGAATCGCGTTTCACCCACCTACAACCCATGCTCTTTGTTATGCTGACCACAAAGTAATTGTCAAGGATAGCGAACAACAAAAAATACCTGAAAGCATCCATGTGGATACAATTTCGATTTTTGAATTCATCGGCAGAATCTTTTGCGAATCCTATTTCACTCTCCATTCCCATACCTCTTATTTGGGCTCGCGTTTCAACGAATGGCCTACAATTAAGAAAATCAGAGGTTTTCTGCGAGAAAAAGGAGTAAAAATAATAAAAAGACGGAGCCTATAAACTGGCGATGGAACTAAAACAAACTGTTGAACATTATTCACTTACCAATCGAAGAAGTCTCCGTTGTACGTCACAATTATGTTCGGCTTAATTTGAAGAATATGGTCGAAAAACCTAAGAAAAGTAGAATTGATCAGAAAAAGTCATAATAGAGGAATCACTGTGAAAGCAGTACCTTCGAATTGTAGCTGTTTCATCGGGTTCATTGAAGATGAAAAATTCTCCTTTGTACTCTTCCTTAGGTGTGTACTCAAAACTTTCTATTTCAGCTGCGACGATGTCACGATTAATGATAAGAAAACCTTTTCCATCGACCTAAAAACGAAATACGAGGTTAACGGTTAATCGAAGAAGCAAAAGTAACTAATTTAGGGATGATTACCATATAAGATATCATCATTATCTCATCCATGGCCGGATCAGGAAATTTCAGGGGAAGTTTTGTAGTTTCAATATCGAAAGCCAGAACGACCGGCTCTATTGGGTCGATCAAAGTGGGATGGCTGGAAAGGATTCGGAAATGATCGTATGGTCAATCGAAAGGAAAATGAATGAACGAACCTAACGATGCTAGGTTTTCTTGTTGAGCTGATACCTTTCACTTTATACCATTTGCCAACAAAATACTTTTCATCGATGGCTACTCTCATATGGTACGGCAGATCATGCTCTCTAAAACCCATAAATCTTCGAAAAGGGTCGAAGTAGTGATTTTTGGATAAAGAAAACGTACCGAATATCCAATATGTCATTCAGAACATCATTCTCTCGCATATCGTAGTTGGATCCACCCATATTTCTGAAATGGCAAGAAATAAAAAGTTATACACAATGTGAAAATTACAACAGTAACAACCTTGCAAGGTATGAGCAATACTGCGATTCTTTCTTGATCCTAATTTTATTCTTACGAACAAGCGGCATAAGATCCCTTTTCACCTTTGTAAGTTCAGCTAAACTTGGGAAAGACAGCTTGATGTATGTTTTTTTGAGCCCCGATAGATGATTTTTCTGAAATAGTTTAAGTCCAATCTCTAAAAAAATGGATACGAATGCAACTCTTACCAAATCCAAGTCTTCCTTGTCGACTATTTCTACCACTAAGAACCCTCCATATTTCTTCGAGAGAACTGATGCTACGTGATGCTCTGCACCATCGGTAGCACTTATATAAAAATACGGTCGGAAGGGATACGATATCTAAACAAGCGAGTAATGGTCACAGATCTCTAAACATGTGATGGAGTTTTAATCGATGCTTAAATCATTCCTAGCACCAACACCTTTCAGCGCCGCTTATCCTTCAACTTGGCTGCTTCAAAATTATGTAGACGAGCCAATGATATTTTAACCCTATGACGACAATGGGGATTTCAACGTGTCGCACCCATGGGACCACGCTTCCCTCTTTTCGCGCGTGACTGGCACCCACCGGTGTATGGCAATGTCCCAGGAGAAATACTTTCACTAGCTTACTGAATTTAGCAATTGGTAAGAAACAAGAAAGTATGGTGGCACCCTAAATTGTGTGCCAATGTCCCACGCACCAGTCATAGTGGCACCCACCGGTGGGTGCCATTGTCGTCAAAGGGTTAAAGGAATGGAAGAAAAGAAAGAAAATTACGTGAAACTGAAGTATAACTTCATAAAACATATCCACGTATCCATCAAATTGAAAAACAAAACAAAAAAATTCGTACCAGCCAAACCAGATACCCTACCTTGAATCTTTCGCCACTTTCCTCGACGAAGTAAAAATCTACAGCAGATATTATCGTTTTTGTTAGCTCGTCTACCAATTCCGCCTGAAAATGATAACAATTGAGAATTGCATACATGAACCCTTGATGGCTGAAACCTACCGGCTGAAAATTAATAAGCCATGCATCTCTTTCTGTAGATCCCGTATAACGTTCATAACCAAATTTTGCATCGATTACATCGTTAAATTTTATTTTCTGTACACGTTCTTCGTAATTAGCGTCACTGAAAGGTATGAAATATCCTAGGGAGGAAAAATACGATATTGTTTTTCTATGACAAACAACTGATTGAAACTAACGTTTCAACTGCCTGCATCTGCAGCTGATCAACATCAATTTGTGGTTCGTCTGACATCGTAACGGTTAGTCAATAAAATGTCTGAAATAAGAGGCTGCAGTCCAAACATAGCTAATGTCAAAAATAACAGAAAAATGCGTAACGCAGTCCTTTACAAAAATTATTCTATCAGACATTTTCAAACATTTTAACTTCGCGCACAACAAGCAGTTTCTGTGTGGGACCCTGAGCCTAATGGCGCGACCTGTCCCATTAAACGATTTCGATTGGATCATGCTATTGGCTGTTCAATTACTGTATGCTACCGTATCTATCGGGAGGATCTACATATTGGCTCTGGGCTCGATTTGGCATGTCGCCTACATTTTATTGGTTTTTCATGGTTCCTCGACTTTCTTCATCTTCCCCGATGTCATTTATCGCTATTTTATTTATGTGGGTGTCTTCAGGGAACAAAATCCCCCTTTCGTTTGTGTTCTAACAGAAGAAAGATTGCATTTTTAAGAGAATCATACAGTAGGGGCTGAGGACCATCAAGCGGGATCACCTGTATCACCTGTCGTCCCGTTCATCATCAAATTCCTCGGGCTCCGATAACGGCTCTGTTCGTCAATGTCTCGGGCCAGAATAGTCCATCGGATCGTCCTCGCTTCATGTGCACCAGCAGGATATTTGGCACAGCTTGAGATTTGTAGTAGTTACATATTTCTGCCAATTCGTTGTAGAAGTCGAAACTCTGTGGAAGTTGCTTTTTGAAGGGAAATCGTCAAACTAGCTCATAAGACACAGTAAAGAAAGATGGAGGTTGATCGACTAAGTAATGGGAGTAGAAAAAGAGAAATTTGGAAACAAGCTCGATAGTTCAGATGAATCTGAATCACACCAAACAGTGAACAAAAAAGGCAAGCAGTAAAATAGGAAATAGCGTTTGGGAAAGGGACAGAAGAGAACGGTAGTAACGTACCTGTCTTCGATTGATATGGTATTGCACCTATCAACGCTTATCGAGGTTATCCAGGTAAATGGTCAGAGCCAACGTCGAGGGTGGTCTCTTTTTACCATGTTTTGTACTAGTCCACTCCTACTACTACATTAGCAGAAAATTGTGAGTTTAATGCAGGCTTCTCGTTCTTTCTCTTCTGTTTACAGTGTTTCTTACTCTACAACTGTGGCAGATCATTTCATGAAATGTCAAGATTGAAATCTTTTAGCGGAATCTCTACAGAATGCTCAAAATATTCTTATTGCTGAGCGAGAGGCCTTCGCAACTCTTTGTGTAGGCCACGGAGGCGCTTCGTTCCGCGCGTCCGTCGGAACTAGGTCACGCCGCAGCCGTCGCACGCGTCATCCTGTGATTTTTGGCAGAGTCGCAGTTATCAGTGGGGCGTACGATTGGCGTTTGGTCCACGGCAAGATAACACGGACCAATTATTAACCAAATTATTCGCTCCGCCGACACTGAGTGGTACTATGATGTCACCTCGAGATCGCAGTAGACTTCGCCGCGCGCGAAGTGGACGCGGTGACCTAGTTTCGATGGAAGCGCGGAACGGACGTTACCACCAATGCACTAGGTCAATAGCAGCCTTCCTAGCTGGCACTCGATATATGTATGCACATACATATGTACGACGAAAAAAATCTGTCGAGCGGCTAAGTTGCCAGAGCCAGAGAACACAGAAAACCTACCGTAGAAAAGAACTGGCTCACCAAAAAGGAATCCAAAGACCCATCACTTGGACAAGCGTGCATCACACATCCGCGTCCTGGCCGCTTATCTATACACACACATGAGTACATATACATATACACACAAATACACACATGCACACATTACCCAAACCAACAAGGACACTTACCACTAGCGAGTTATATAGCAGGATAAAACTTCCTTTCTCATACTTTATATGACTTCATGCCGACTAACAGACAGAACGGCATGCATGCAAGCCATATACTGAAAGTTGGTGAGTCATTTATGGATAGTGTGCGGAGTCAACTAATAGGGCGAACCTCCTGTATTTGACAACTCAGCTAGGCGCAAGTAGCTTCTAGAGCACTCGCAGAGCTACATGGAATACGCTGAAAACCAAGTATCCTGCTTTTTGCCATTTGACTTTACTCAGTCTACCACTAAGCAAGAACAAGCAATAGATTGTCTTTTAAGTCTGCTACTGAGTGACACGTTAAATACGCATAGTTTTGTTGTAAAGACATCAAACATAATGCATGACGTGACCTAAAAAGGCAAAATCCTATTGCAGCGATATAAAGATCAATTCGTACGTTACAAAAAGGAAAGACACTTGATATATACAGTTATATACTAAAACAGAAGACTGTCATGAGGTAAGCAGGTCTTGATTGCCAGGGCTCTGCCAAAGAATAGAAGAAGAGCAAGGCTGCCGTCTTCGAAAAGGCATCATGTTAACTCCCTAGCATTTTCGGCCGTAGCTCAACCGCGGCACCAGTATGATCCAATCCTTGGTGTGGTTAACACAGTTTTGGAAAAAGACAGCTTTCTAATATAAGGGTCAACAACTACTCGGAGAGTTTCACCTGTATCAGCTGTCGTGCCGTTGACCAACGATTTTCCTCGAGCGGGCGCCAGTAACGTCTCCCTTCGCCGTTGTCACGGGCCAAAGAGGCCCAGTGAATCGCGCTCGCTACAGGGACATGAATTCCAACATTCCTTCCGTTCAAAGCATTCGTGAAGAAGTCTGAACATCGCGTTGGCAGCCGTCCCAGTGTTCGCTTGACGTCCCGAGGGATCCAAATAGTAACCATCCTGGTCCTACGCTCAGCACTATATCGTATAACGTCTCCGGCCCACCTGATCTTCGATATCTTGGCGCAATCAACGGTATCCCTAATTTTCGTTCGATGCGAGAGTTGGGAACTCCACATTCCCTTCTGCACTTGCGTGTGTAAGGAAACTCCGAGCATCGCCGTTTCCAAAGCGCGTTAAGTAGCGTAGGCAGCATGTTGTCCTGCTTTCGTAGAGTCCAAGTGTCCGAGGCGCCACAAGCACTGTTAAACTTGGCCAGCATTTGTTCCACTTGCTCGATGTTGTATGTTATAAGCACGATGACATCCAAAGCGGAAGTGGTGTAGACAACGACCGTCGACCTTCACTTCCATGCTTTCCCATTCCATATGACGCATGACGTTCTCGAGAGCGGCACTGAAAGTTTGGGCGAGATGGTATCGCCCTGTAGAACCTCTCTCTTCACGTTGATGATGACTTCTTCATCGAATGGTGATCCTGGTCGTGAAATTGTCGTAGAGCTCACGAAGCAATCTTGTGTGTTGAGTATGAGCAGCCCTTGTTGTCCAGAGCTTCGATTAGGGCTGTCTCGATTGTCATTACCTATTGCTATTTGGCGGCTAGAAAGTACAGTAATTCAAATTCAGTTCAAATTGATAACGCTCCAATCGGGGTCTTTTTAATAACTCTTGACCTGGAGTAGAACAGTTCTTTTCAGATATGAAATATGGATATGTTTTATTATTATTCCTATTGTGATTATGATAATAATTCTTGTGTACTGTTTGGTAAGAAGAATCTTAATCCGCAAGGTAAGTTGAGCTTTTGTAAAGTAAATACTAAAGAAACCAAATTTGGAGGTGTGGCTATATAAACCTTGTAACATGCTCAATGAGAAACAAGCTGTGCGACTGGCTTGCTAGGCACTAGACCCAGCAAGTCAGGAGTCACACGGGACTACTCGTCCAAAAGTTTGCACGCAAGAAACTGAAAGTGCTGGGAACTTTTCCTGGGCCCTCTTCCTCACGTTTCACAGTTCACTGATAAAAGTCGTCTATGGGTTTGCCCATACGTATTACTTTAGGTCCTGGCAAAAGATCTCCGCACATTGTACATGGGATCACCAACCATCCCCACTTTATTCCCTTAGAAGATTCCTTAAAAGTATGAGGGGTTGATTCAGTCATCATTTGGTTCACTTTCACCTGGGTGAAATATGCGATCAGATGCATCGCCTTTGAGTAGAAGTTGTCAACGTGGTGCGAGCCAGATCAACCATATCTCCTTCCTTCCCCAACTGAATGCATTAGAAAGAAATTTTTCAGAAGAAAAAGGTGGTTCATCATGTGTCTATACGTTTCCCCTTGCCTCCTCCAATAGGTGAATCATCCGATGATATCATGGATGAAACACAATACGATGTACGTAAGCCAGCACTACGAGATACAAAATCAAAAGATTCCAATGAGGAAGGTGGGAACTTTCGCCTATATCCTTTCTTCAAGATGCCTTAACTTGAAGCTTGTTCTCGTTAAGGAATTGGATCCACTGAGATAGAAGCCGACTCAAGAGAAGAACAAGTTCCCACCATTGCAACTATGATGCGAGAAGAAAGGAGAGAAGAACCAAAATCAGCAGAGAAGAATGGAAAGAAAAAGTAGTTTTACGGTGTTAACAACTCTTGGCCAACTATAAGGGCACTAAGCAATTCATGTATGTCATGGCAATGTTACTTGCATGATTAGTCATAACTAAGCGATCTTGGCAATAGGCCGAACTCATTGTAGGGTACCATGAGTAACAAGGCACTAAGCAAGAATGGTTGAGAAGAGATGGAGATAGTGGAAGAAGGAGCAGATTTGGGCCGTGTATGTCACCGCGATGTACTCTGGAGGCGTACATACATAAGGGCTCATTAATGGAATTCCATACAGCTTCATATGGGGNGTGTGGTGGTGTGGTGTTGCTGACCAGAGCGGCCGTCAGACGTTTGAAAAAAGAAACGCGGCACTGGAGGAAGCGATAATCTGTTGCGGATAGATAGAATTGCTTGTATGTCATGGCGATGTACACTACAACAGAAAGGAGGTATTACGAGCAGATAAACGACTCGTCTCACTAGTGCCCTTTGATGATACCTTGGGAACTGACGACGAGCTATGAGCTTCCTCTATTTTTAAAGGCGTTTAACTCAACTCTAGTTAATTTTATCAATGGAATTATGTAAGCGAATATGAGTTTCAGGGGAACACAACTTCTGTTTGAAGCGCCGCCACCTTATGAACAAAACATACCAGTGTCGCCAGGACGAGAGCGAATGGTAACTTCCAAGCTAGCCAACATACCTGCTGTAAGTCACAGGCACTTGTCATAAACGCTCCTTTAAGAATATTACCGGTTACCGTAACCCCATTGTGCATTTGCTTTTTTCGTTTGGAAGAGGTCATCTTTAGAACATGCAATTTTCTCAATTTTCTATCTCTATATATCCAGCAATAGGAGGTGTTATAGTGGCAAGCGGCGCACTATTTTACACGCATAGTCACGAGTTCGAATGTCGGATCGAAATCCGCCTAGGCTAAGCGAGCCTGGTCAACGCCCAAAGGCTTTATCGTTTACTTTTAACAGATCCAGCACTGGATTTTCGTAGAAGTCCCCTACCACAGGAAGGCTCGAATGATTTATTTTGACCATTCCAGCGTAAAGTGGGCGACACGAGAGTGATGGGCACTAGCAGCAACCTGTCATCATCAACAAGAAGAGCCTTATCAGAGCCTGCCAATAACTCCAAACCCGGTCTGCAAACCGGTTCTTCAGAGATGACCGGTCCAGTCCGTGTCTCCCTTCCTTGCACGCCTTCAATGAACAATACAGATAAGGTCTGTGTTTTTTTATTTGACGATTTTTCCTTGTGAAGAGCACGCGGACCATAGCTGCTCTACGACCTCTGCTATGGTCGACGTACTTGGAGCCAACTCAATGTGAAATTTGGGTACAGTTCGCTGTCGACAAGTGCGTATACCAAGGTATTGGGCGATGTGCTCTAGAGCCTTGACTATTCCTTTGCCAAAAGAGCAGGTCACACTGATCGCAAGTCCGTGGACTATAAACGAGGCCAGAATTCTGAACTAGAGCATCTTTCAGCGGAGCAGCTTTTCAGACTCAGAAGACGCAAGCTTCAAAAGAAGAGTCGGATAAAGATCGCAAAAGTCTGAAAGGTAATCAAAAAGCCGTGCCTTTGTCCTTTGTGAGTGAGGAGATCAGGCCACAAAAGAGACTGTTTGTGCAGTATGTGGGGTGAAGGTTACGCTAGATTAGACGGCATCAGACTTAGAACTACAGAACCTCAGAACAATTACGCCTTTGAGCAGTGGTCCACATATAAGAGAACGTTTGACAGCCATGACTGCTTTCATAGTCTACGATTTGGTCCGCGAGCGACCGGGGGACTACTCGTCCGACGGTATCGCCCAAGATTCATTTGTAAACAAGGGGCTGCACCGCCCCCAGTCGCTCGCTCGCGCGCTCGCGGGCCGAATCGAGGACTATGGAAGCAGCCTATGGGATGAATGAGTGAACGAGTCCGGGATCATCTCCCCGAAAGCGGCATCGCGCACACCGCACCTGCCGCGTATCGCAGGATCGCGATGGAAGGTTGGAGCGCGCTATTTGTGATGTAGGGAGTCCTTTAATTATTTGAATTGGTTGGCCGCTCCCTTGATTGTCGCTAATAAAAGAGGAGAAATTCTAGTTAATCAAGACTAACGAACATTTAAACAAGAAAAAGAGCGAAAACTAATGAAAAAGGAAGGCAATAGAAGAAAAATATTCCGTCATATCGATTGGCGGGGAGGCGGGGTGAGTACGGTAGTTGCAGTGACATTTGCCGCATGCCGCAAGGGAGAATGCCGCAATCGGGGAGAAGTTCCGTTACCCATGAGTGAGCGCATCCCGAGACAGCAGGATCAGTATCCGTCGTGTAGCCTGCGCTCTCTTTCATCACACTCCTTCGTGTCGTCTGCGCTCCCTTGCATCACACTGACTTTGCGTCTTCACCTTAAGAAGCATAACAGCAGGAAAGCTATCTTAGGAATCCGCCCAATGTTTCACTGTCAGTTAGCAACAGAGGAAGCAATTCTGGATATTCAAACCATTTCCTTAGGCTGCTCTAAGAAACCGGGAACATGATTTCCCATCCATACACAACCGTATTACTTACCTACCCGTTGTCTTTATAATGTTAGGCGAATTGTAAGACATTAAACCAAGTGCACTTGTGAAAATTCAGAAAACCATGATGCCCAGAATAATTTGACGGATGAAACGGCTCAGAGCGAATCTTGTCGACCATCACGGCGGGATCCATCACATCACGATCCCGATCTCGCACAAACTCAACAGACGACAGAGGATGAAGAAACTGACATTGAACGCTCTGATTGAAATTTTTTAGTTGTAGAGAATGCCTAGGAATATACGATTAGATTATGACAGTTGTCTCACTTGTCTACGATAAAAAGTGATTTATGAGAGAAATGGCGTACCAATACACGACTAAGTAGAGGCAACTGGCGCAGGGGCCTACAATGTCACCTTGTAAAACCTATCCAGTAAACAAGATTAAAGTTTCGTTAGGTCGGAAGAGCCATCTACATATCACTTTTTCAAGGGGAGTAATCAATGTAGGTTCCTGGACACCGCAAAAAAAAGTGGGTATTGAGCTACCGAGGTAATGCCGGAGAGGAACAGGAATTCAGAAGGACTCGATCGATTAAATGAGTCTGAGTCACAGCAAACAGTTGCGCATGAACGAAAAAGGCAAGCAATAATAAAGGAAGTAGTGTTAGGGATAGGGACAGAGGATAGAAGTAGTAACCCACCTCTTTCTGTTTGGTGTGGGATAGCATCTATCAACGCTTATCTAGGTTATCTCGGTAAATGAACAGAGTTAACTCGGGTATGGTTTCATCTTTTTCATGTTTTGTACTAGACCACTCCTACTACTACATTAGCAGAAAATCGTGAGTTTAGTGCAGGCTCTTCGTAATTTCCCTTCTTTTTGTAGCGTTCCTTACTCTGTAACTGTGGTAGAACATGAAGTTCATGGAGAGCCAAGTTGAGGACGATTTCAGGGAAGCTCTACAGCATGCCCAGGATCATCTTTTTGCTGAGCGAGGGTATCTGGCGGGAAATTAGCGCTTGCCTGAAAACAATGAACTAGTTGTTGTCTCTGGATACGGCGCTTTGTCCTTTCCCAACAACTTTTGGAAATCTCTGATTTTGCCCTGGAATACGTGGATGAGTCATGTTGACTGTCTGATAGCCGCATCACTAGATACGTCCGTGCTAAGCGTCTTGCAGATACCCTTCGATCCAAAGTCCATCTCGGACTTCAGCTGTAATCATGTACGTGAAGGCGTAGAAAGGAATGGCTCGAGGAAGATCAATTGGATTACGTACCCAACGCGGGCTTTACAAGTCCGCTACCACGACCGCTCATCGACGTCCTGCTAACGAAGATCGAGTTGTAACAGGATGGAAATCAGTAAGCGCTTGCTTGATGTATCAGAGTAAGATAATTCCCCGAAATTATGAACGCTCCGAAGATGCTCTGTTGGTATCCCGCTCGATCTAGTTCACCGGTCGGATCAGCCGGCCTACGCCGACCTCTCCTGGCCTCTTGGCCAATCGCCCGCATCGCATCCGCATCCGAATTTAGGTACCCTGGTGCAGGAGAACATGAGTTGTAAATTGTCGTAGTGCGTACATACACCCAGACGCACCTGGTGAGTGCTCAGCCAGACAGAGCAGAGTCTTGGTCAAGAGATAGCATCTACCTCACACGTCTACATAACCTCTTGCAAAACGATGGGCAGGACGACATGTTTACAAACAGACACACCAAGTTTGCGGTTTATTTACAAAGAAGGCCAGGTGTCGATGATTTAAGAACGTTGGTGAAGGGTTGCCACGCGGGTATTATTGACAATATTGTTTGGAAATCTTGACTTAGATATTGCTGAATAATGGAAGTGGGAAGATTCAATAACTTTATTGATTAATCAGAACAGGTAATGAACAGAAATATTTACCGGAATACCAGGAGAGAGTATCAGGCAGACCGGCGTGCGGTTGAAATCCGACTCGCAGAAGAAAGGGTGTCCGATAGGCCACCTTGGCGTTTTATATAGTGTCCTTTTCCTGCGCGATCGGGATGGCCGATCCGTGACCACCCATGCTCGATAGGGTCCACGCCAACACGGTGTAAGGCTGTGAGGCTGATTACTTCAACAGGAACAAATCTTGTCAAGGTATGAGGTAGCGACTTCGCTACACCAGGAATCCGCTGAAACGGTGGATCTTTTGTGGGTGTCAAAGCAGCTGAAAGCAAATAGATTCTATAGCACCTACCGAAGCACACTAAAAGTTGACTGGCCCCAACTGCTCACCGTTTGAGGGTCACTCACTCTCTACCACTAAGCCAGCACAGGAAGTATTAGATTGTGTACTAAGTCTGATACTGAGCAACACGATAAGTATACTATCAGTTTTGTTGTGAAGACACCGAAAATAGTGCCTCGCGTGACCTAAGAGAATGCAAAATCTATTGCAGCGATATAAAGATCAGTTCGTGCGTTACAAAAAGGAAAGACACTCGATATATACACATATATACTACAACAGAAGACTGTCATGAGGTAAGCAGGTCTTGATTGCCGTGGCTTTGCCAAAGAATGGAGGAAGGGCAAAGCTGTAGCCTTTCGATAGGGCATCTTATCATTTCCCCGGCATTTTCGGCATCCTTTTTGTCGCCACGAGGGCGTGCAGGGTGTGACGTCCTCACCTGCGCTGATGATGTTGCTCCGCCACGCGGCACTGCGGTCCTTCTGGAGCATCCCCCCACGCGGCGTATGCGGGAGCCCTGCGGATGAGGATACTGCGGATGTTGATACTGCGCACGTCCTCCTTCTCCCTCCAACGAATCTCCCTGTGCGAGTATGTGCGTGTTATATTTATAAAGAATTGACCATAATCTGAATAAGTATTGTACTGCAGAAAACTACAATGCTACAATGCTAATGAGTATATGATATGTATGGGTCTTCCCTGTAAAGACTATTAAATTCATCTTCATTAAGAAATAAGCGGAATTAAAAACTACTGCCAAGCTCCTGCGTAACTAGGAGAATTCGGCACCCGCTGCCCTCGGCGAAGGAGACGACGATGGTGTCCGCGGACGTGTGCCCCGCACGGACTGTGTGCTACGGGCACGAATTCCCTCGCTGATCCTCGAGGCTCCTTGGTGCGTGCGTACTCCACGAGCTGCAGATGACCTCAGTTGCAGGGTGGCAGCTAGCAGCTCGCCCTCCCTCTTTGATTCCTTTGCAGCTCGGAGCATCTTCTTCCTCCTTCCCTCCTCTGCAGTAGTGTGGTACTGGTGCCTGCGTATTGTCGTCCCACTTCTCGGCAGAGTGGATGACGACGGAAACTGCGGAGACGTTGCGTTAGAAAACGTGCCGACCGAGCGATATCATTGACATGGAGTGAGGTGAAGGGTGTTGTGCGCACACTCCACGCCGCGGCGCCCAATGCCACAAGGCAATCGATGCGAGCGGCGCGCAGCATGGATGGTAGAAACGGTACTGCGCGCAAGTCATGGGCTCTAGGACAGAAGGTATTTCCGAGCAAACTGCTCAACAGGAGCTATTGNGAGGAGCTTTAGGCAGGGGTAGAGGCAGTACATGTACAGATATTACCACGGACACATCCTGACTGTGCGCTGGCCTGAAACACTCCTACTGAATCTCCTGCGCGGAGTTGCACGTCCGTACACACACAGTTTGGTTAAAACCGGTCCGATCCAGTTGATTTGCATAGGAATGAGTATGTTCGACTTGGAACGATACCTTTTCCATTTACCTCCCTCCCACTACTACCACTTGGTTTGTTAGGAGCTTCTGTGGGACAACTTTGATTCCCTAAGTTTGGTTCTGTCATTTGCTGGCTGACAAATACAGTAAGGCCATCAACTTCATAGCACTCCAAGCAAGACCTTTTTTCATCCATTCTTCGCTTCCAATAAAGCACTTCTTTTCAGACATGAAATATGGATATGTTTTATTATTATTCCTATTGTGATTACGCTCATAATCCTTGCGTACTGTTTATTAAGAAGAGTCTTACTTCGCAGAGTAAGTGGAGCGTTCTTATAGTAAACTCTGAAGTGATAGAGTTAGGTTCATACAAACCTCGGAATTTGCTTAGTGAGAAGCAAGGTGTGTGACGGGCTTGTTAAGCAGTAGACAGGACCACTTACAGATCACACGAAACGTTCTATCCGAATGTTTACAATCAACATCTAAAACTGCTCAAATGTTCCTCAAAAGCCATCTGTGAGATTGTCCATCCCTACAGTTGAACTTGACAGAAGACCTACGGACTTCACACACTAAGTCAACATTCGGTTCCACTTTTCACCCCCAGAAAGATGGAAGCTATTTATGAAGATGTTTCTTCGTTATGTGGGAGAAGGGATCACCATAAAGTTGACAGCACAAGGACGGAGATTCTGCTTGTGAAATCTTGAGGCCATCGTGGGCGACGTGGTATTTTGCACCCGTTTGATCGAAACAACTGTACGCATTCTGAACCTATGGTACCATCAAATCGGTACTATGATAAATAATGGATACAGGATAAATAATATGGACTTCCACAGGCGGAAGTGTGGTGTCCTTGCAAGCACCACCTCACATTCTGCTGGTCAAGTTCCCATGAACCTTATCGCGCCGTCGGGAGCGTCCCGCCGATGCCAGTCCGCATAGGTGGTTGCTCGGCAGGGCGCCCCCAGAGGCGTGAGCTAGGTGACCGGGGTCTTCTGCCCGCTCGCCATGCTTGTATTCAACTGCCACACGGACTTGGTAATCCTGAGGCTGCCCCAGTCTCCCTTCCGGGCTCCTACGGGCTGGTACTGACTCCGTAGTACGCTATGGGGTTGATAGCCCAGCGCCGAGCTGCCTAGGGCGCGGGGCGCACGGTCCTACCATGGCCTACGTGGGACATCCCATCGTCCCAGGATGCCTGCGATATACATTGATGTTACCAACACTCCACGTACAAACAACACATACATTATAAAACACACTATTTATAATAATCTACGTATGGTGAGAAAAAGATGATTAAATACGAGTAATGAAGTAAGTACGATATGAAAAGTACGATATGAAAAGTACCATGAAAAAGGCATGAAAACATACACATGAATATAAACCACGCTCAACCTACGGACTGGATACGATCCTGGTCAATCCTCATCCAGGTTCATCCAGGTCTCCTTCTGGCAGAGCTGCTCCAAGGTCCTTCGGCTGCTGCGGACCATTCATCCGGATGATTCCAGCTTGCTCCATATTCCGCAGCGATGGCACCGCTTGTGGATGGCAATAATGTGGTGCTACGAAACCGTTGGAGGCTGCGTCGTTAACATTGACGTCGAATAGCACAGAGGGCGATGAAGGCAGGCTGCTGCGACGCTGACGACGGCGACGAATGATGATGCAAATGTCGCATAGGGGCTAGAGTCCACTGCCACGTGGCAAACTCTAGCCCCTGCAGCTTACTGTGCCTTTCTAGGCGGGACTACGGGCTCGCCACGCCAGGCCGCCCTTCAAGTCGTCCAAACGGCACTACAAACCTCGACTTTACCTCTTCCTAGTTCTCCTGAGTCGGTTCAATAGAAAGGTCTTGCCTAAAAGTATAAAAGGGTTGATCCAGACAGTTGAATCTTTCTGACGTGGGTGAACTAGGCGATGAATTGCATAGACAGTTGAGTAGCGGCGCAGTCTAGGACCACAAAATCTTGTCAACTGACCATTTCCATTTGAACTCAATACAACTGAAAGGAATTTTTCAGAAGAAAAAGGTTGCTAATCATGTGTCTTTACGTTTCCCTTTGCCACCTCCAACAGGTGAATACGATGATATGGATGAAACACAATACGATGTACGTGTGCCAGCACTTCGAGATACAAAATCGAAAGAGTCGAAGGAGGAAGGTGGGAGCATTCGCACATGTCCTTCATGTCCTTTCTTCAGTTTTTAACATGCCTAGAACTGAAGCTCGTTCCGTTCCCGTTTAGGAATTGGATCCACCGATATAGAAGCTGATTCAAGAGAAGAACAAGTTCCTACCATTGCAACTATGATGCGAGAGGAAAGGAGAGAAGAACCAAAATTATCAGATAGGAACGGAAAGAAAAAGTATCATAGCGGGTTTTATCAACTCTATCCAAATTTAACAGCACTAGGCAAATCCCATATGCATTTCATGGCGATGTTGATGACATGGTTAGTCATAACTAAATGATTGGGAGTGGTCTATGGCTATCATGCAAGCGTGGTTCACGGCTTCGAATTCGAATCGATATCCGCCCGGATCAACCGGCCTTCCATCCCTCTGGGGTCTGGTAAACGATCCCAGATAATCAGCGCCCGGAGACATTATCTTCTCGAGGGACCTTAGCAAAAGGTTGAACTGGGGTGGGTGTGGGATTCTCAGAAGTAAAAAGGCACAAAGCGGAGAAAGAGGAGAAGTTGAGAAGACATAGAGACAGTGGCAGGTGTTCATTGAGCTGAGAACACATGGTAGGAGGGGGAGAAGGAAGGTGTGCTGTTTCTGACAACAAGCCGAGAACGAAACGTCGAGAGAAAGCACTGCGCCAGTAAATGTGAAATCGGTCATCGTTAAATAGAAGTGGGTGTATGTCATGGCGATGTATGCGCCCAGCATGAAATGGTATGATTAGATAAATGACATGTCTTTCACTGTGTTCCTTGATAATATCTGAAGGCTGACCCTGAACTTCCTCTGTTTTTAGAGGCGGATAATTCAACCTCATCAATTTCACCTTAAACTTTATGTATTAAATGAATCTAAGTTCCAGGGAGCCACAATTCCTGTTCGAAGCGCCTCCACCTTATGATCAGAACATACTAATGCCGCCAGGACGAAGACGAATGGTAGCTATCGAGCTAGCCGACCTACCTGTTGTAAGTCGCAGACACTTGTCACAAATACCTCTTTACAGAATATTACCGATTACCGTAGCCCCAATTTTTGTTATTTTGTACATTGACTTTTTCCCTTTTAAAAGAGCCCCTCCTTCAGAACATGCAGTTTTCTCTTGGCAAGTGGCGCACTATTTCATTTGCATGGTCACGGGTTCGAATCCCAGATCGATATCCGCCCAGGCCAACCAAGCCTTCTTTCCCTACTGTGTCAGCTAGGCGGTACTAGATTTGTCTGGGAGAGTAGTAGTTGTAACTTGTGCATTGGCTAACCACCGCAAGTCATTGTATATGCCCTACACGCATTCAATACGCCACTACGATTCCGATTGGGAGTCGAATAGGGGGGCGCATCCCTCAGATAGGAATGATTGACGCCCGGAGACTTTATCCGTTATCCTTTAGAGGTCCAACATTGGAATTTCGTGGGAGTCTCTTACCACGCCTTCTGGAGGTCTCGACTGATTGTTTCGACCATTTCAGCGTAAAGTGGGCGACACGAGAGTACTGGAAGCTAACAGCAGCAACCAGTCATCATCTACAGGAACGGCCATATCAGAACCTGCCAACAACTCCAAACCGGGTCTACAAGCCGGTTCTTCAGAAATGACCGGTCCAATCCGTGTCTCCCTTCCTCCCACGCCGCCTTCAATGGATATGGTCTGTATTATTTATTCGACAAATTTACCGGTCCAATCCGTGTCTCCCTTCCTCCCACGCCGCCTTCAATGGATATGGTCTGTATTTTTTATTCGACGAGTTTTTCAATTCAAGGAGTGCGTCGACCATAGCTGCGCTACGACTGCTGCTCTGGTCGACGTGCTCAGAGCTTGGAGCCAACTCCATGAAAAATTTGGATATTGATTGATGCCGGCAAGCGCATATATCAAGAAGTCAATATTGCCTACTAAGCCTATGCTCTAAAACCTTGACTGATCCCTGCCACAGGATCAGGCCATACTGATCGCTGGTCCACGGAGTATAAACGAGGACAGAATACTGAATTGGACCACCTTTCAAAAGATAGTTTTTCAGACTCAGAGGACGCAAGCTTCAAGAAAAAAATCAAATAAAGACCGCAAATCTTTAAAAGGTAATCGAAAAGTTATGTCTTCGTGCGCTAGGTTCGACGGCCTCTTAAACTGCGAGGTACTCAAAATAATTTCCTCTCTGAGCATTGTTCACTTCCAAATGAACGAGCTGAAGGGGATAGTCGGGTGAGCGGCACTACGGAACAGTGGGGTCGTTATTCGTCGTGTCGCCTGCGCTCTCTTGCATCACGCTGTATTTGCGTTCTGCCTGAAGAAGCTAAACAGAAGGAAAGCTATCTTAGGCCTACCCGTCAAATGTTTTGTTGCCAGTCAGCAGCAAGAGAGTCATTTGGAATAATATAAACCAGTTCCTTGGGCTGTTCAATGGGACCGACATTTCGGTTCCCCACCCACACCCTACAGTACTACATACCGTACTCATTGACTGCACAATGGCATCGAATTTGAATTTTTACAATTTAAATAAATTCATAAACATTTAGAAAACCGTGAAATGCAGAATGACCCGTTGGATAGAACGGCCCGGAGCTTATCCCGTCGATCATCACGCCTATCA